CCAACCTTGTTGTTGCCACCCGAGACGTCAGTGAGGCATGGGCGGCGCTGGACGCAGCTAGGACAACTTCCTGATGTCGTGGGGGGAGGGAGAGAGAGAGAGAGAGAGAGAGAGAGAGAGAGAAGAGAAAAAAAAAAAAAAAAAAAAAAAAAAAAAAAAAAAAAAAAAAAAAAAAAAAAAAAAAAAAAGAAGAGAGAGAGAGAGAGAGAGAGAGAAGAGAAGAGGAGAGAGAGAGAGAGAGGAGAGAGAGAAAGAGAAGAGAGAGGAGAGAGGGAGAGAGAGAGAGAGAGAAGAGAGAGAGAGAGAGGGAGAGAGAGAGGGAGAGAGAAAGAGAGAGAGAGAGAGAGAGAGAGAGAGAGAGAGAGCGAGAGCTTGAGAGCAGGGGACCTTTTTGGCACGCTACATCTTCGCCCCCACCTGTTGAAGTCCCCGACAGGAGATGCTTAGATCGCCTCAGCGCTGATGCGATCCGCGCCGCCGCGCGCAGCTTCTCGCCGCGCGCGGCACAATCCCTGGGCGGGGTGCACGTGCGACAGTTTGCTTGCTTGTCTGACGAGGGGTTAGACACCTTGGCGTGCATTTTTCAGGCGTCCGAACGTCTTGGAGTGTTTGCCAGGGCCCTGTGCTGGGTGCTTTCCCCCTCCTCGAGAAACCCACAAAGGGGGGTGAGACCCATCCTGTTACACGCTGCCCCTGCCAGGTTGTGTGAGAAGTTGCGTCGCCCCTGCCCTACCCCCTTTAATGGCTCCCACCCGCGCAAGTATTGGGCCTTCGGGGCTGGGAAGTCGGCGGAAGCTTGTGCGCGGGCCCAGGCGGCCAAGGCGGAAACTCAAGTGGAAAAGGGAGGAGTTACGGTTGGGTTCTTTTGGGACGGCACGAAGTATCATGAGAGCTTTAACCTGGAAAGGCTCAAGCAAAGGAGTTTGTCGGCGGGGCTGGGGCCCGTCATCGTCAAAATGGTTTTCTATATTTGGAGAGGGCCGAGGATTTTGAGGCTCGGGGCGGGCCGCAGCCTGGCTGTACAGAACGCAGGCAGTGGACTGCCTGCTGGTTCGTGCTTCAACGACGTTTTTGTTCGAGCGCATGCAATGGAACCGTTTGACGGTTTCGTTGGGCGCAACCCAGACATCGATTTGTCGTCGCACATCGATGATGACACTGTCAGCAGCTATGGGCAGAAGGAGGCTGTCATAGAGTCGCTGGCGCGCGCCGCGATCGACTTCCATGCTGTTTTCACGCAGGAGCTCGCGGTTAACCTGGCCCCTGACAAGTTAAGTTGATGACGTTTGCCTCCGACCCCGATACTGCTCGTCGTCTCGGGGTTCGGCTCGGAATTCTGGCGGGCAAGGTGGACGCGCGCGTGACCCCCTCAGGGTGCGATTTGGCCCTTGGGGGCAAACGTAGTAGGAGAAGGCACCTTGCCAGGATGCGCAAACGTATCCAAGACATGATTAAGAGGCCTCGCGTCCTTCAGCGTTACCTGAGGGCCCTCCCTCGGGATCGGGGCCGCATGGGTAAGATATACACCGCTGGGGCCAAGCCTGCGCTCACCTTTGGGGGCGCCATAGTCGGTGTGACTGATGCGGAACTTAAGCGTGCGCGCAGCGTTCTGTTGTCTCCCCAAGCCCCGGGGCACGTTGGCGTTTCCACGCGTGCCAAGGTTGCCCGTGTAGGAGACCCGCTTTGGAGGGGCATGGTCGCGCCTGCGCTGGCCTGGGCGCAGGCGGCGTGGAGCGCCGCCACGCGACCTGGCTTCGCGCAGTTCTCCGTCAAGGAGCTGTGCCCGATGTGGAGGGAGGTCAATAGGGAAGGACTCAGCTGGGGGAAATCCAGGGGACCATCAGTAGGATGCATGTGTCGCTAGGCCGCATAGGCTGGAAGGCGGAGTCGCCCTTGGACTGGATTGATGACAAGGGTGCGGAGCATAGTCTAGTGTACACCACCCCATCCATGGTCAGCGTTATTTCGGAAATGGGGTGTGCAACGTCACCATGAGAGGGGCTTGGCCGCGAAACACGGGTGGCCCTCAGGGGCTCGGGTTCGCGCGGAACCCACTCGGCGCCTGGTGAACCCGCGTGCCAAGGGAATAGGGCTGAGTGCCCAAGGAAACTACTTGGTGAAGTCTGCGTTTTGTAATGGTTTGTGGACTGAGGGCCGTGCGAGAGCCTCAGGATACCTCTGCCGAGGACTTTGCCCGCTGTGCCAGCAGCCCGACTCGGTCGGGCACCGCCTCTTCCAGTGCCGCACCAGGACGTGGTGGCGGCACGCGAGACGGCGGGGGTTACCGTTCAATGTTGCCGCGAAGCCGCTACCAGCGGAGATTTGCTTTACGCCAGTCTCATGATGGAGCATCCCATCTCGAACTGGCCCAGCCCAAGCGATGATCATGCACCAGTTTTGTATGATGAGGAAGGGCAGGAGGTGGAGTGGAGTCAGTTTAACAGCGAGGGACTGAATCAGGCAGGAGATGGGGCGTGTATACCACACACTATATCTGAGTTGTCGAGGGCTGCTGTTTCTTGGGTCTTCTTTGATGAGTTGGGGCGGCAGAAGTACTTCGCTCGTGGCGCAGTCTGGCCCTCACTCCCGCAGACAAGTCAGACTGCGGAGCAGCTGCAGTTGGCTCTGTTGCCGATACTCGTGCCACAGCTGTCGCGGGAGTGCTACAGCGATAGTATGAGCGCAGTCAAGCTACACAATAAGTTGACCAGTGATCACCCCGAAGCAGAGGCACGGGGGCTTGAGGTGGGGTGCCCTGATCCATATGCGCGATAACAAGTTTGCCCCAGCTGTTCACACGCCTGCCCATCGCAATATGGAAGTCATAGATAGCCTGCCTCAGTCAGAGCGTAGTTTTGGCCTGGCCAACTGGAGAGCGGACCGAGAGGCGAAGCAGGCCATCGAGATTCATCCCCGTCCGTCCGAGACCGAAGTTAAGCAGTTAGATTTGACCCTTGAGAAGGTCCAACGATGTGCTAGACTCATGGCGGAAGTTTTACCGCTGTTTCCAAAGGCCTCCCACCAGAGGCCACCCAGGCGCCCGAGGCCCAAGAAGGTCTTCGACAAGGCCACGTCTTGGCACTCTTGGCAGAGTTGTCTGAGGGGTTTCAGGTGCTCGCTGTGTCTGGTCTTGTTCGGTGGGAGGTCCAGCGAGCGCCCCGAGCTAGGATGTGAAGGCTTTCCTGAGCGAGTGGCTGAACTTTTGGCGTCGGCACCGGACCACGGCCACAAGCTCGCGAGCACGCAAGTGGGGAACGAAGCACCCCCACTTTTCTTCTGCATGGCGTGCGGTGCGTATTCGCAACACAAGATAAGAAGCCTGGCGGCTCGATGCAAGCCAGGCAGTTTGCGCCGTGGAGGCCAAGTCCTCTCGAGACTTCGTCGGGGCCTCCACCCTCTGCGCAATGCTCCGGTCTCCTGTGCCGAACCTGAAAAGCAGGTTCAGAGGCAGGAGGCCGACGTGGTCTTGCACGTGGCGCGGAAGGGTGCCATTTCGGCCTCTACCACGCTTGGAAGCTATCCGCGCCCGCATAGCGGCGCGGGAAGCTGCGAGGATGGTGCGGTGAACTGGAAATTGTCGAACTGGTCGGGCAAAGGTGCCCCCCCCCCCAAAAAAAAATAAACGGGACATTCGGGACAGCTTGGGGTCTGGCGGCCGCGGTATGCAGGATGTGTCCTGTCGTGTTTGTCGAGGGCGCGAGGCGGGATAACCGGGACACTCGGGACAACTTGGGGTCTGGCGGACGCGGTATGCAGGGTGGCAGTGGCCGGAGGTCTGTGCTTAAAATCTAACGACGCCAACCTGTCCGGCGGGGAAGAAGAGTTGAGTAGGATGGGGAGAATACGCAGGGTATGGCGAGAATGAGGAACAATAAACATGGAGGAAGGAAAACGAATAACATCATTATAACGGCGGTGATCGAACAGGCAACAAACATGTATCTTTACATCATCGGTTTGACCTTTCTGCCATTCCGCCTGCATACCAAACTTCAAGAACCAAGTTACATGGCGCGAAGCGCCAATGCAGTCTTGTACAATTATATGTGTGTGTATATGTGTGTGTGTCCGTATGCATTCATGTATACGTATGGTCATGTGCAGCATGTTGTGCGGAGCAATGCTTGCAGTTCAAGATGTGCGATGCAACCGATGTGGTGCAAGCGATGCGGTGGCAGTGCAAACTATGCGGTGCAACCTGTGTGGCGCAAGCCACGCCGTGCAAGCCAGGTGGAACCCCACAGGCACCTGCGGAAGGGCACCAGCCGAAAGGTTGGAACCCCCATCCGCCGCACGCGACGCCCACGAGGCACCGACGGCCAGGCACCAGCCGAAAGCCCACAGATGGCAGCCAGCGCGTGGGCCTCATGGGCTGTTTTGCTGTTGCTGCTGCTGCTGCTGCTGCTGGTCTGCTGCTGCTGCTGCTGCTGCTGCTGCCCCCCTCCATTTTCCCCGCCCCCCTTCCTCTGCCCAGCTGCTCGCCGGCGCCCTGGTTGCCTTAAGTGTCCGCTCACCTGTCGCCTTGCCGTCCGTTCCCCCCTCTGTCGTCGTGTCCTCGTTGTCGTCGTCGTCCGAATCTTGTGCACTGGGTGCTGGGCCATTCCTGAGCCGACGCCCGGCCACGACCGTAACCACCACCATGACCGATCGGCGACTGGCCACGCGAGCGACGCAACAAAACGGGGTCGCCTGCGCCGACATTCGCGCGTAAGCTCCCCGCGGAACGTCGCGCGGAAGCGCCCCCGTTTCCAGTGTGGTGGGTCGCGGCGGCGGCCCGCGCAAGCCACCGCGTCAGGTCGCTGTTTCGTCTCGCGCAAGGCCCGCTGTCGATCGTCGCTCGTGCGGCGCCCGGCACACGAAGCGCTGGACCATTCCAGTACCATAAGCACGCCCACCGCTTCGGATCGGGCTCGCTGCCTCCTGGCGGCCGCGCGGCGCGGTAGGCCTGCCGCCGATACCCGCCGCCCCTGCGCGCGCGTCCTTCCCGCGCCGGGCGGGCCATGGGCGGCCGGCAGGTGGGTTGTCACATGGGGGCACTGCGGCCAGCGGGCGAGCAGAGGAAATGCCCGGGGCGAGGGGGGAGGGGGGCGGAGGATCAGGTCGGAGTGGAGCGGGAAGGAGTTTAGTGGAGTGGAGTGGAGCGACGGGGAGTGGAGTGGAGTGGAGTGGAGTGGAGTGGAGTGGAGTGGAGTGGAGTGGAGTGGAGTGGAGTGGAGTGGAGTGGAGTGGAGTGGAGTGGAGTGGAGTGGAGTGGAGTGGAGTGGAGTGGAGTGGAGTGAGTGAATGTGTGTTGTGTGTTATGTGTGTGTTGTGTGTTGTGCGTTGTGTGCTGTGTGTTGTGTGTTGTGTGTTGTGTCTGTTGTGTGTTGTGTGTTGTGTGTTGTGTGCGTTGTGTGTGTTGTGTGTGTTGTGTGTCGTGTGTTGTGTGTTGTGTGTTGAGTGTTGTGCTGTGCGTTGTGCGCTGTGTGTTGTGCGTTGCGCGTTGCGGGTTGCGGGTTGCGGGTTGCGTGTTGCGTGTTGCGTGTTGCGTGCTGTGTGTGTTGTGTGCTGTGTGTTCTGTGCTGTGTGCTGTGGGGTGTGGGGTGTGGGGTGTGGGGTGTGTGGCGTGTGTGTGTGTGTGTGTGTGTTGTGTGTGTTGCGTGTTTTGTGTTGTGTGTTGCGTGTTGTGTGTGGTGTGGTGGGTGGTGGGTGGTGGGTGTGTGGGTGTGTGTGTGTGTTGAGTGTGTGTGTGTGTGTTGAGTGCGTGCGTGCGTGCGTGCGTGCGTGCATGCGTGCGTGCGTGCGTGCGTGCGTGTGTAGGGGTGTGGGGGTGTGGGGGTGTGGGGGTGCGTGCGTGCGTGCGTGCGTGCGTGCGTGCGTGCGTGCGTGCGTGCGTGCGTGCGTGCGTGCGTGCGTGCGTGCGTGTGTGTGTGTGTGTGTGTGTGTGTGTGTGTGTGTGTTGTGTGTGTCCTGCGACCTGCACAACCGTCGCCAGTTTTTCATGGGCTTCCGGGAGGTCCAGTGCAGTGGGGCGTTCCGCACATCGCGTCGAGACCTCGCGGCTCCCCGGGGGGCTGCGAAGAGGGCATATGTCGCCACTCTCGTGGGCTCATGGGAGGTCCAGCGGAGAAGAGTGTCACGCACATCGCGTCTAGACCTCGCGGCTCCCTGGGGTGCTGCGAACTGGGCATCTGTCGCCACTTTCGTGGGCTCCTGCGATGTCCAGCGGTGTGGGTGTCACGCGGATCCCGTCGAAATCTCGCGGCTCCCTGGGGTGCTGCGATGTGCGCAACTGTCGCTCTTTTCGTGGGCCCCCGGGAGGTCCAGTGCAGTGGGGCGTCACGCGCATCGCACTGAGACCTCGCGGCCCCCTGGGGTGCTGCGAACTGAGCATCTGTCGCCACTTTCGTGGGCTCTTGGGAGGTTCAGCGGAGTGGGGTGTCACGCGGATCCCGTCCAAACTTCGCGGCTCCTTGGGGTGTTGCGGTATGCGCATTTGTCGCCATTTTCGTGGGCTCCGGGGAGGTCCAGTGCAGTGGGGCGTCACGCACATCGCGTCGAGACCTCGGGGCTCCCCCGGGGGCTGCGAGCTGCGCATCTGTCGCCACTTCCGTTGGCTCCTGGGAGGTCCAATGAGGTCCAGCGGAGTGGGTGTCACACGGATCCCGCCGAGACCTCGCGGTTCTTTGGGGGGGTTCGAAGCGCGGGTCTTTCATCCGATGTATTTATATTGAGCGGTCTGTAGTATAGCCGCCCCAAGTTCAGAAAGGGCTAGGTATGCCTCAGGGTAATTGTGTTCCGATTCCGTGCCGATGCTGACCGATCCGAAGGAGGGGAAGGGGGCAGCGGGACTGAGGAAGAGAAGGGGAGTCTGAGTGGGAGTTTGAGGGGACGTCGAGGGTTTCGTGTTGTGTCGACGCGGCGGCGACCCGAGCGCGGGCGCTCAAGGTTGCCCAGACGCGGCCCATGTTGAACGATCTGGCGATCGAGAAGCCGCTGATCGTTCAGGGCTGAACGATCCACGCGGTGTCGGAAATCGGCGCGCAAGTCGTCACGACACGAACTGGCCGTAGCCAGATCGGCCCGCCCACTCCCACCCGCCCTCCTATCACATTGACATGAATGGTGAGGCAAGTTGATACAGTCAACCCGCATACATCCCCAGGACGGAGGTTTTTCCTCTTGGGCCGGGAACAACGATTTGTAGTCTTGGTCTTGAGCAGACGCGCGTGAGATAATCGCCGTCGGCCCCAATGAAGTACGTGCGGATCCAATGTTGGTCTTGGTTTCTGTTTCGGCGGATCTGATTTTCGCCCGCGCGGATCCGATTTGGATGTTCTTGATCCGGGTCTGGTTTTATGTTTTACGGCTGATCCGATTTCTACCCCGTTTTACCCCCCCCCCATACACACATATATATGTATATATACATATATATATATATATATATATATATATATACAACGGGGAACCGGAAGAAATCGGATCCGTGAACCCCAGAACCCGCCCGTGTTAAGATTCTACGCGGGAAGGGGGGGGTCGGTCATCAGCATCCCAGGATGGGTCTTGCGATGTCTAGCATGTGCCCCATCAACTTTCCGCGCGCGCGGGCCCCACTCAATATGAATACAGATCGGTCCTCCCGGTTGCTGCGCGCAGCTTGTCCAGGCGACGTCCGTTCGGCGGTGCTGATGTTATTTCGCGAGCGCATCATCGCCATTTTCACCTCAAGAGGAAAATCTGTCGTCTTGCGCAAGTGCGTTTTGGCCCTGCGTCTCCTGACCCAACGGACCGCACGTGGCGCGGGAATTCTGGTGAGATGTGGTGTGTCGGCTATGTGGCAACCAGCAAGTCTGAAGGCCAACACACCCAGTGCGCTTCGGCCCTGCGTTGACCCAAAGGATTGCACGTGGCGGGGTAATGATTGTGAGATGTGGTGTGTCGGCTATGTGGTATCCAACAAATCCGAAGGCCAAAACGCCCATCCCCAGGACGAGAGTTGTTGCTTCTTGTGCTCAGAACAACGGTTTGAAGTTTTGAACAGACGCGCGTGGGATAGCCGCCGTCGGGTCGGGCCCAATCAAGTGCGTGCAGATCCAATGTTGGTCTTGGTTTCTGTTCGGTGGGCCCGATTTCCGCCCGCGCGTTTCCGATTTCGGATTTTCTGGACCCGCACCCGGTCTTCTTTCATACGGCGGATCCCATTTCTACCCCGTTCTACATCGACAATTTCAGATTACAACGCGGAACTGGAAGAAATCGGATCCGCGGACCCCAGAACCCGCCCGTGTCAAGATTCTACGCGGGAGGGGGGGTCGGTCATCAGTTTCCCAGGATGGGTGCGCTGTCTCGCGTACTCCCATCAACTTTCCGCACTCGGGCCCCACTCGACATGAATACAGATTTGTCCTCCCGGTTGCTGCGCGCAGATTGTCCAGACGCCGTCCATTCGGCGGCGCCGATGTTATCTCGCGACCTCATCGCCATTTTCACCTTCAGAGGAAAATCCCTCGTCTTGCGTTAGTAGTAAGGGTGAGCAAATTACCAAGGTTGCCCTAGCATCCTTCCCTTTCGGCCCATCCTTGGCCGCTTTCGCTGGCCGCGCCCCGCTCGCAATGTGTTGTCATGGCCTTCCAAGGCCCTTAAAGCCTTATCGCGGGTTGAGTACAGCCGGACAGAGGTATAGGATCGAGATCGTTTAGGGGAGGGGATCATCATGTTCTTTGTGAATGTTGGGTGCTCTTTTGCAACCTGGGGGAGGGTACCTCGACTGTTGTTCAGGTTGGCAACGGGAGGGTCTCACGTTGTTGAAGGATGTTCTTCTGCCCCAGGTCCGACCGTACAGGGACGGTCGCGCATCCACACCCAGCGGACGGCAGGCGCATGTGCGCGGCCCCCGCTTCCGACGACCTGGCCGAGAGGAGGGGGAAAAAACATATGAAAACATGCGGGCTGCGCACGGGCGCGAAGGTAGCTTCCAGACGACCGCTGCACGGTGCTGCGGCGGGAACGCCATTTGGCCCTCTCTCGCGCGGCTTGTGCCAGGGTAGTGAGAGGGCCCGAATATTTTAGCTACACTGAAGAGTGAGTGAACTTCAGCCGGAATGATCTTACTATTTGGCCCCTTCTCGCGCGGTTGGTGCCGGAGGCAATGAAAAGGCCAAAATGTTCAATTGCACGTAAGAGTGGCTGCTGCGGGCCCACTGGGATCCACCGATCGCCGAATGTGATGCGATAGTTGCGCCTTGCGCGTTGGGTTTCGCCCCCCCCCCGCGGCTCCCCGGAAGCCGCGCACCAAACGTCAATTTTGCCTGAGGTCACTCCAGCGTGTAGCCGAAACTTGTGGAGACGCCAGACTTGAGATGTCCCAGACTCGCTGGTCGCCTTACGCGCATGCGCCTGTGGAGACGCCTGCTACGCCAGGAATGCCTGGACCGACCGACCGACCTGCGCGATGTGCGCCCCGTGCCATTACTGCAACGGCCCCGTTCCATGTTCCTACGGAAACGCTGAGTTGGCTGATTTTCATTGGCTGGGTGGAAGGGCCCGAAGCAGGACGTTAATGGCCGGCTAGGTGGAGGAGCGGTTATATGCAACAACAGGGGATGCGAACAGGGGGTTGGGAGTTGTGATCGGGGAGGAGGAGGAGGAGGAGGAGGAGGAGGAGGAGGAGGAGGAGGAGGAGGAGGAGGAGGAGGAGGAGAGGGAGGAAGGCCCGCAGCCTTCCAAGTCCCAAGGTCCAGGCAGGCGGTGGATCCTTTGATTCCAGAGCATGGGCCTGTTCATCGAGAATAAAACTACCAACCCACTCGGGCCAGCCAGCAGCCCAGTAGTGACCTGACTTCACGGTTCTGCGGCACCAGGTCTCTGACTTCCTGGCACTCTTATCGGGTATCCGCCTGCCTGGAGCTCGGGACCGGCTGGCCCCTAGCCGTTGTGGTTCCAGGCATGTTTGTTCAGAGGGCCTGCTCTGCACCCGCTCGAAATTGCTCAAGGCGTTCATGCAGTGGCATGAGGGAGGGGGGGGGGAATTTCGACCACCAGCTCTCCCACACCACCCAACACCCCATGAATTGGAATGGCGGCATGCAGCTTGTAGTAGGGAAGCGCATCTGGTTGCAAATATATGGTTGCTCCTCTGTGCAACTATTATTCTTATTCCGAGGGCAAGCACGTCAACCCAGCAGTATTCCCAAAACCCTGCGCGTCTCACTGGTTTGATGGTCATTCGTATTGGCGTAGAAAGGGCAAAGGATCAGTATCAAGGGGCAGAGGCCAGGGCGATTGAGCCCGCAGAACGGGAGTCACGGCGGCCAGTCACGCGCAGAGGGGGGTGGGGATAAGCTAGGTGCGCTCGCGTCATATCTGACGTCCTACCCCTCCCTCCGATCCCTTACCATGGCGCTGATTTTCTCTTTCCGCGGACGCGTGTCGTAGCGGACCTGTGGCTCCGCGCGCGCGTGCGTAGTGGGTGGTGGTGCGCGTGCGTGCGTGCGTGCGTGCGTGTGTGCGTGGTTCTGGTGCTGGTGCTGGTGCTGGTGCTGGTGCTGGTGCTGGTGCTGGTGCTGGTGCTGGTGCTGGTGCTGGTGGTGGTGGTGGTGGTGGTGGTGGTGGTGGTGTGTGTGTGTGCGCGTGTGTGCGCGTGTGCTGTGGCATGGCACGGGAAATGACGCCAGCGCTGCAGCGGGAGCACGAGTCGAAACGGGCAGAAGCGCGGAAACGAGGCCAGCGCTGCAGCGGGAGCACGATTCGGAACGAGCGGAAGCACGGAACTGAGGCCAGCGCTGCAGCGGGAGCACGATTCGGAACGAGCTCGGCCCGAAAATGAGGCCGGCGCCTCAGCGAGAGCAGCATTTTGAAAAAATACAGGCGAAAACCCAACTCCCGGGAATCCTGTGTGTAAAAAAAAGCAGGACGCGGGGGGGGGGTCGGCTACTCCCAGCACGCCATCAGGGGAAGAGGGAGAGTAGTATTCATATTGAGTAATTGTAGAGGGGGGAGGGCTTCTTAGAAGCACCCCTGCTTCTTAGAAGGCGCGGGCTTTATCTATAGATGGAAGGCCAGCGCCTTCTAAGAAGCAGCCTCCTAAGAAGCTCTCCACCCCCTTGTGCGCGCCGCCAAGCTGGTCCCGCAAAAGGGGACACCAGCACGCAGTTGTGGTCACATCGGAACCCGAAAGACATTCCATGGTTTCTCCCACTTGAGGTCTTCCAGATGCCTCATTGGGCCGCCGTCGGCCGTCCTGGGCGGATGTATCATGAAGCTGTTTTGAGGCCCTCTTGGGCCGCCGTGAGGCTGTGTTGGGCCGCCTGGAGCCCCCTCGAGGGGGCCCTCTTTGGATCGACTGTGGGCCCTCGTGGGCGTCTTGTAGTCCGTTCTGTTTGTGGCGAGGTTCACTGCTTTGTGGGCCGTCACGGACGCTCTGCAGACCGAAAAGGCGACGATGTCAAAACCAGATCGTCTTTGCGTGGTTGGCCTCTTGGCGTCATCAGGGGCCGTCTTGGGAGCTCCTGTGACGGCTTGGGCCATATTCTACAAACTTTGGTCTGGTTTGGCCAGTTTGGAGACGTTTGGAGCCGTTTCGCTGCCTCCTTGGGACAGGGTCGGTGAGCACCCGAGGCCCAAGAATAGCCTCCTCCACAGGCGGATGGTCCTGTGTTGGTAGGGCTCGGCGGAATGCACGCGGCTCATTTACCGCTCCCTACCCTTGCTTATCCGACCTTGCAAATCGTATAGGGTCTGTTTGTTTACCATGGCCATGGCCATCCGTGCTCCAAGCTGCGCTCAGGGAAAAGAAAACCGTCTAACCGCGGAGCATCGCACTGATCGGAGGAACGCCCTGACCCAGCACTTCACCTCGACCACTCATGACCCACCTGCTGGTAGATATTTTCCATCGTGCAAAGGACGCCCGGGCTCTCACGCAACGGGGTTTCCGCCTCAAAGCGACCAGAGGGACCGCCCTCCAGGGTCACTTCCAGACCTTCTTCCAATCGCAAAAGTCGGCGCGCCAGTGCTAGCCCCCCTCCCACGCGGACCTGTTCCGCTGTCTGCTTCTTCTGGGCCGCTGCGGGGAGACGCACCGAAGCGGCGCCTCTCGTCGCGGGGCGCCGAGGCGTGCATGCGTACCCGCGCTTGCAGCTGGCGCTTCGCCCCACGCGGCAGCGAGGACGGTCCCCACAGCCGCTTGATCACAGCCGACCGTTTTTTTCCAGCTGGGAGTCCCCTGTCGTCCGCGCCAAGGGGGAGGTTAGTCCACCACCCTTGTCGAGCTTGCGGCACTCCCCGCTTTGCGAGGAAGGTCTGCCGTGCAGGTGCGGCCTGGGGGCGTGGATGGAGTTACGATCTCTCTCTCTCTCTCTTTTTCTTTCTCGCTCTCTCTCCCTCTCGTTCTAATTCCATCTAAGACGAAACGGAGCGAACCTGCAACCTCACATTGAAGGATTGTAGGGCAAGCTTGCGACCTTGCAATGAACGGGTGCCGTGGTTCAGCACCCCAGCCACGCATGTATTTGTATGTGCGCTTAGGTGGCTAGGCAACCCCAGTGCTTGCGTTTTCCTTCACAATGCCGTTGGTTGTCCGTCTGTGTCAGTGTTTTGTCCAACGTTGCGCGCAGCGTTTGTGTGATATCCCGCGGATGCGGCTGGCTGTTCTCGCTGATAGCCCAGGATGCAATCGAAAAGCGCCGGAGGTTGGCCGGTGGATGGCAAATTCCAGGATAAATATCACGAGGATTATATACCTACCCCCACCCCCCCTCGGCGAGACCACGTTTCGCTACCGCAGAGCGGTGTTTCAGGAAGCAGCCTGCCTGAAGCGGGCCCCTGCCAGCGCCTACCCAAGAAGTCCGCGCGAGCCTCCGAAAGCACAACTTCCGTCCCATCATTGGCTCTTCTGGATCCCTTCTGAGTTCGCTCTGATCCTCGCGCGGCCTCGCGGATGTCTTGCGGGATGGATTGGGCATTGCTTGGACGTCCCGCCCGATCCGACCCGCACGCCCGTGAGGGCCCTCCGCGCACCCGACCCGCTCGCGAGGGCCTGCCGTCCGACCCGCTCGTTCGGGTCCGCCCGCCCGACCCGCCAGTTAGGGCCCCGTCCGTCCAGGACCGTCGTCGCCCTCGTCCTCGTCGTCGCTGTCGGGTCGGCGTCGTCGGCATTTTCGTCCTCCTCGTCTTCGTCGTCGTCACCGTCGCCGTCGTCGGCCTGTCCAGCGTCTGGCGGCCCACCTCGGCCACCGAGTGGACCGCCGAACGGATTCAGCTCCGACAGGGTCCCTACGAGGCTGGCCCGCTCGTCAGCCGAGCGGGCTCGGTCCCACGTCCAGCTCGGCGCCCGAGCGGCCTCAGACCCAGACATCCGACGATCTGTTTTTTCAATGCGAGGCTCCAGAGGTCCAGACCCCTTCCCCAGGGGTAGCCTGTCGTCCCGGATCCTTGTTTGATGGTCCGGGGCCCGATGAGTGGCCTCAGAGGCCCAACTCGAGGAGTAACGACCGGATTGCGAAAACACGTATCCCATAATTCCGACGTCATGCGTTGTCACAAAGTCGACCCCCGGAGGCCTGGACCCCTCAAGAGGGTCGGTGTTTCATCCCAGGGTGTTTCTTGACGGTCCCGAGGCCTTGTGAGGCCCCCCAGACGCAGAAAAGAGCCCAAGGGCCTCCCGTCGTGGTTTTTGAGGTGCGGCGAGGTGAGGGATCGTTGGATGTCTGTGGACGCCGAGTGGGTTCAGAAGGGGAGCCCTGGAGTACTCTCGGCGCGGCCACGCGCGGGGCGCGCCCATGGGTGCCCGCGGCCGCCGCGGTGCTGCTCGCGGCCGCGCTGGCGGGGCAGCCGTGGCTGGAGGAGGCCGTGGAGGAGCTTGAACTGGGGGCAAGCATCGTGGGTCGGCGGCGCGACTGGGGGGAAGTGAGAGTCAGGCGATCGCAAACACTGATCAAGGGGGCGTGGATTAGCGACGGGTCCCGTTCCCATGGGAAACCGCGGATGTCCGCCGCCAAACGAGGCGGCACCGGCCGCAGTTTGGGGAGGGCACCTCCCCCGATCCATGGATTTGGCGACCGCGCGCCAAATCCATGGATTTCTAATCCATGTTTGCGCGCCCCCGAGAGAGGGGGAGGGCCTTGTCGGAAGGCCAGGGGCTTCTCAGAAGCCCTCGCGCCTTCTGAGAAGTGGTTTTACGTCTTCGGGAAAGGCTTAGAAAATTTCTCGGAAAGCCTGCCGAGCCTTCTGAGAAGGCCCGCACCTTATGCATACCCGCTGGGCTCGCTGCCGAATCATCAAGTGGCAACCCTCACCCTGCTCTTTGTTGCTTTGGAGCAGCTGCGCTAAAGCGCTCGATCTTGAGGCCGCCAGCAGAGTGTCTGGTGAGATGCACCGTTGGCCCGTTCGCACCAGGGCGCTGGGCTCCCACGGCCAGTGCCGCCGACCCTGAGGTCGGGGAGGAGGGCGCGGAACATGGGGAGGAAGATGAGGAGGGGGACAGGAGGAAGAGGTGGATGAGGAGAAGTAGAAGCACAGGGGGGGAATGAATAGGAGGAGAGTGAGGCGAGCAGGGTCGCATGTACAGGTGGAGGGGGGGCACAAAGGAAGGGCAGGGGCGATTAGAGCGTGGCGATCATGAGGAGGAGAAGGAGGGAGAGAATGACGAGGATGTTGACGATGTTGAAGACGACGCCGGTTGCATATCAGGACCATTCGGGGCGTCTTGGAGCCCCCCTGGTGCGACTTCCAGGCTTCGTTCGCTGTTTCAAAGCTTGGTTCGGCATCTCGGGCATCTGGGAACCACGGAGTGTAGATTTGGAGGACGCCGGGACCTGGGCAAAGGCCAGGGCCGTTGCCGGAGCCGGGGCCGGGGCCGGGGCTGGGGCCGAGGCCGGGACTGGGGCGGGGCCGGGGCAGGGCCGAGGCTGGCTGGGGCCGTGGCGGGAGCCGGGGCCGGCCGGCGACCAGGGCCAGGGCCGGGGCCGTGGCTGGAACTCGGGCCGATCGGCCGGGGCCGGAACCGGGGCCGGGGCTGGGGCTGGACCGGGGCTGGGACCAGCCGCGCGGCCGGGGCCGGGGCAGGAAACAGGCATCCGGGCCGGGACTGGATAGCGGCGACTCTCCCCTATCAGCCATCTTGAAAGATATGAGAAAGGATTTTTGTTTGTTCAAGGGCGATTTCTGGGGTTCCCCAAGAAGGTATGGAAATGGGTTTAAGAGAATCTGGACATGGATTTCGGGCTCTTCAGGACGGTCGGTGGGGCGCACATCATGTCAAAGGTCGTTGTTCAGCACACACTGTGCAAGTGTCGAACACCTTTTCCGCACCCGCAACGCACGGGTGCTTCACTCAACCGGGGACGCGCGATGGCGGACTTCTCATCATCTTCTTCTAATATGTAGAACATCAGCTTAATGACGGGACTTTGTGGTTTCAAGCGTGCCCCCGACGATGTCGATGGGAACGCTGCCCACAAAAACATTAAAAGGTTCATATGGCAGTTCGTGAGTTCACAACCACGGCCACTGCGCTTTACAAAATTGAAAGAGAAGGTAGGCTCCGAGTGCAGGGTTCGGCTTCGGTCTCTACGTCCTGGTAAACTGCGGGCTAACTGCGCGCGCGCGGGGAAAAATCTGCATGTTGGCCTGGAAACTAAAGTAAACCCTTAACGGTGATCGACCAGATTTCGGGTGACCCGCGGGCGCGCGGGTCACCCCCGCGCGCGGCGCGCGGGTTACCATGGTCACCCGCGCGCGCGCGGAGAGTTTTGTATTGTCCACACAAGAAAAGTCGACATGTAATTCCAAAAACTGAACTCACAAATTCTGCGATCCTTAAAGGAGGCCGACGGACGCGTCGACTTTTCTATTGTTGGCACACAGAGCTCCCCTTGCGCGCGCGCAAGGAGAGCTGTAGTGTCCACAGTAGAAATGTCGCCATGCTGGCCTGGGAACTACAGTGAACCCTTAACGGAAACCGACAGGATTTCGGGTGATCCGCGGGCGCGCGGGCCACCACCGCGCGCGGCGCGCGGGTTGCCATGGTCACCCGCGCGCGCGGGGAGTTCTGTATTGTCCACACAAGAAAAGTCGACATGTAACTCCAAAAACTGAATTCACAATTTCTGTGGCTCTGTAAGGAGGCCGACGGACGCGCCGACTTTTGTATCGTGCGAAAACAAGAATTCCACCATGGGATCATGAGTTCGGCGCACTGTCACGTCATGGGTCAATGTCACGCTGACTCTCCAACTATCATGGCTCATGGTGTCACGGTGGCTTTCTGATTTAATCGAAAAGCACAAATGTTGGACATGCCGGGAGACACCATAGATTCCCGCGGCGGAACCCAAGGATTCCCGAAGGGAGCTCATAGATTCCTGCAGGAGTGGCCATAGAGTCCCGAAACAGAACCCATAGCTTCCCGACGGGAACCATAGATCCCCGCGGGGGAACCCATAGATTCTCGCAAGGGAACCCGTAGATTTCCCAGAGGGACCCATCGATTCCTGCAGGGGAAGCCATATATTCCCGCACGGAAATTCCTAGATGCCCGCAGGGGGACCCATAGATTCCCGAAGGCCCGAAGGGGGGCCCTGAATTCCTGAAGGGGAACCCATGGATCCCGCTGGTGAACCCATAGATTCCAGAGGGTAACGCATAAATTCCCGAAGGGGGGGGGCCGTGTATTGAATCCATGAATTCCATGTAAAGAAGCATGCGATTTCTGTTGTCTTCAAGATCGAAAAGTCCTTATGCTGACCTGGAAACTAACCCTTCGCGCGCGCAGGGAGTTCTGCAGTGCACCGGGCCCGCCAGATGCACCGGGGCATATATGATATTGCGCGCGCCGGTTATCATTGCCCAAAACGCGCGGTGGAGGAAGACAGGGATGGGAAGGAGATAAGACCCTCATGACTCATGAGGCATGAGGCCTCGCCGGATCAGCGCTCGGATCGATCAAACACAACGCTGCCACTCAATGTCGTCGGCGTAGTCGCCGCCCCCCGCCTGACCCCTGACCCGCGCCGACGGCAACCGACGACAACGACTACGACGACGACGACCGACCGACCGACGACAACGTGTCTATGTGGGGCCGCAGGTGCAAAGACCCGCGCAACGCGCAAAGCCTGCGCGCCCGTCGGCCCCCTTAAAGGGTCGCAGAATTGTTGAATTCAGTTTTTGAAATTACATGTCGGCTTCTCCACTGTGGACAATACAGAACACACCGCGCGCGCGGGGGTGGCCCCCGCGCGCGCGGGTCACCCGAAATCCGCTCGGACACCGTTGATGGTTCACTTTAGTTTCCAGGCCAACACAGCGCTTTTTCGATGGTGGAGCCCAGAGAAATCGCATGCTTCTCTACAGGGAATTCATGGATTCAATACACGGTCCCCCTTCGGGAATTTATGCGTTCCCTTCGGGAATCTATGAGTTCACCAGCGGGATCCATGGTTCCCTTTCGGGAATGCATGGGTTCCCTTCGGGCCTTCGGGAATCTATGGGTTCCCCTGCGGGCATCTATGAGTTTCCGTGCGGGAATATATGGCTTCCCCTGCAGGAATCGATGGGTCCCTCTGGGAATCTACGGGTTCCCTTGCGAGAATCTATGGGTTCCCCCGCCGGGATCTATGGGTTCCCGTCGGGAATCTATGGGTTCTGTTTCGGGAATACATGGCCACCCCTGCAGGATCCCTTCGGAAATCTTCAGGTTCCGCCGCGGGAGTTTATGGTGTCTCCTGGCATGTCCAACATTGGTGCTGTTCGATTTAAATCGAAAAGCCACCATGACACCATGACCCATGACGTGACAGCGCGCCGAACTCATGATCTCATGGTGGAATTATTGTTGTCGCACAATAGAAAAGTCGGCGCGTCCGTCGGCCTCCTTAACGAGTCACGGAATTTTGGAATTCAGTTTTTGGAATTACATGTCGACTTTTCTTGTGTGGACAATACTGAACTCTCCGCGCGCGCGCGCGGGTGACCATGGTCACCCGCGCGCCGCGCGCGGTGGTGGCCCGCGCGCCCGCGGGTCACCCGAAATCCTGTCGGTGACTGTTAAGGGTTCACTGTAGTTCCCAGGCCAACATGGCGACTTTTTTATTTGGGACAATACAGAACTCCCCGCGCGCGCGGGGAGTTCTGTATTGTCAACAATAGGTAAGTCGACGCGCCCGTCGGCCCCCTCAAAGAGTCGCAGAATTTGTGAGTTCAGTTTTTGACGTTACATGTCGACTTTTCTATTGTGGACAATATAGAACTCCCGGCGCGCGCGCGGGTGACCATGGTCACCCGCTCGCCGCGCGCGGGGGCGACCTGCGCGCGCGCAGGTCACCCGAAATCCTGTCGATCACCGTTAAGGGTTCACTTTAGTTTCCAGGCCAGCATGGCGACTTCTCTATTTTGGACAAGACAGAACTCCCCGCGCGCGCGCTCTGTGAGCTGGGAGATGGGAGTTTTGCGTTGCCCGCGATCTGCTACGACGTAGAGACCGAAGCTGAACCCTGCACTCGGAGCCTACGTCTCTCTTTCAATTTTGTAAAGCGCAACGGCCGTGGTTGTGAACTCACGAACTGCCATATTAACTTTTTAATGTTTTTGTGGGCAGCGTTCCCATCGGCATCGTCGGGGACACGCATGAAACCACAAAGTCTCTGAAGAAGATGATGATGAGCCCGCCATCGCGCGTCTTCGGTTGAGTGAAGCACTTGTGCGTTGCAGGTGCGGAAAAGGTTTTCGAACATTGCACAGTGTGGAGCTTGTTTTGCTTCAAAACTGATCCTTCTCTCTCTCTCTCTCTCTTCCGCCTTGCGACGCGTTCACGCGGTGTGCGCGGGCGGCGGGCGTGGTTTGGATTCGCGCGGCCCTATCTACTTGTTCGAAAGATCCTTTCTATTTCTTTGAGTGCTGAGTGCAGGCTTTGCGTATTGTGCGGGTCTTTGCACCTGCGGCCCCTGCAGTCCTAACCCTGAACCCCGAGCCTGCCTGGCGTGATTTGGATTTGCCCCACAGACCGTCCTGAAGAGCCCGAAATCCATGTCCATAAACCCATTTCCATACCTTCCTGGGGAGCCCCAGACACCGCCCTTGAAGAGACCGAACACAATTTTCATACCTTTCAAGATGGTTGATAGGGGAGAGTCGCCGCTATCCAGCCGGGACCAGAACGGGGGGCCAGAACCGGGAGCCAGACCAGGGCTGGGACCTGCAGCCGTCCGGGGCCGGGATAGGGACCGAGGGCCAGAACCGGCGGGATCGGAGCGGGGCCAGGGCCGGAATTGGGAGCAGGGTCGGGGCGGGAACCTGCTGGGCGGGGGTCAGGGCCGCGTGCCGGGGCCGGAGCTGGAACCGGGACCACAGCCGCCGCGCAGCCGCGGAGCCGGGTCCAGGAGCCGGAACTGGGACCGGGAGCCGGGGTCAGATGGGGTCAGGGCCGCGGCCGGGGCCGGAACCGGGGCCGGGGCTGGGGCTGGACCGGGGCCGGGGCCAGGGCTGGGACCAGCTGCGGTCGGGGCTGGAAACGGGGATCGGAGCAGGGACAGGGATCGGAAGCCGGAACTTGGGGACGGGACCGGGTGCAAACGGAAAACCGTCAAATTGTTTTGGTCGTGAAATATCATGGAGTGAGTATCCCCAGGCAGCATTTTTAGAACGCATGGTGGTTTCCAACTGCGTCCGCACGTCTACCCTGTGCGGGAGAACATGGCGTTTATAACATATGGGGGCTTGTACCAGGTTGTGTGCCACATCGTGTGTAATTGTGCCCACAGGAGGCCCGCGGGCCCACGTCTCATGAGGTCCGCGGGCCACGGGCCCACGCACCGAAACAAAAATCGTGACGTCGGGGGGGAGACGGAGGCGGAGGCGCAGCAGGCGAGAGGACGGAGGAGACAGGTGGGAGGCACGGGGAGGGACGCGGGAGGAGGAATGAGCCAATGGGCTGGACCATTTTGCGCGCGGCATCTCAGAGCTTAGAGTTGCGAGGACGTCTCAGGCGAAACGGGCTAGACCACCTCGGGCTCGGAGCTTAGAGTTGCGGGGATGTGTCGGGCGGCGCCCAGGCTCCTCCCGGAGCACAACTCGACAACAGAAGTGTAATCCAATGGTTTGTTTGGGTCCGACCCCTCTTCCCTCCTCCTCTCAGGGTTCAGAGTTGCGAGGATGTCTCAAGCGAAACGGACCGAACCACCTCGCGCGCGGCATCTCGGAGTTCAGAGTTGCTAAGATGTCTCAAGCGAAACGCGCCAGACCACTTCTAACGCGGAATCTCGGAGGCCAGAGTTGAGAAGATGTCTCAGGCGAAACGGGCCAGACCACCTTGTGCACGACACCTCGAAACTCAGAGTTGCGAGGATGTCTCCAGCGAAATAGGCCAGACCATGTCGGACGTGGCATCTCGGACCCTAAAATTGCGCGGATGTTCTATGAGTAAAGGAAACGAACCACCTTTTTCGCGGCATCTCGGAGCTCAGAGTTGCGAGGGTGTCTCGTGCGAAACGTGCCGGACCACCTCGCGCGCGGCATCGCGGAGCCCTTGCAGTGAGCAGGACGCTTCACGCGAACCAAGCCAGAACACCTCTGGCGCGGCAGCTCAGAGCCCAGAGTTGCGCGGATGTCTCAGGCGAAACGGGCCAGACCACCTTGCGCGCGGCATCTCGGAGTTCAGGATGCGAGGATGTCTCATGCGAGTTGGGCCAAACCACCTCTCGCGCAGCATCTCCGAGCTCAGAATTCAGAGGATGTCTCAGGCGAAACGGCCCCGACCTCAGCCCGCCTGCGCGGCACTCCCCACGGAATGGTTTCGAGCCCGAGAAAGGAGAAATCGATAGAAACATACGTAAAGCACATGGGATTCGAGCCACAGTAGAGGGACAATCTAAGGAACATGCGTAAAACACAGGACCACCATAACCATCATCACCATACTCATCATCATCAATAACATCCTCATCGCTTGCATCTTTGGGACATCAAGAAATCTCCACACCATAATTGAGATTAGGGTGCTTTGCTGGGGTAATTTAGGGATGCCTCTGCTTAGGCCTCCCCCTCCCCCGGCCGGAACTAGCTTCAATCACAGCAGCACTTTGTTCGGCAAGTTGTTTGGGAAATAATCCCTCGGACCTTGAGATGAAATCGAGAGGTCCGCGGGGCCGCATCCCGAAACGCGGAACACAAATCGCGACGTCAGATGTTTGGGGAGGGCGGAAGGCAGGGCGCGCACGGCGGATGTTGAGGCGGCCGAAATGAGGGAGACGGCGACGTGGAGGCAAAGGCAAAGCCGCAGCAAGTGGGAGGCGAGAGGAGAGGGGAGGAGGCAGGCGGGAGGCACGGGGAGGGAGGCGGGAGGAGGGATGAGCCAATAGGCTCGACCACTTCGCGCGCGGCATCTCGGAGTTCAGAGAGAGTCGCGAGGAGGTCTCAGGCAAGACGGGCCAGAGCACATCGATCGCGCTCGGAGCTTCGAGTTGCAGAGATGTGTCAGGTGGCGCCCAGGCCTCTCCCGGAGCACAACTCGACAACAGAAGTGTAATCGAATGGTTCGTCTGGGTCCGACCCCTCCTCCCCCCCTCCTCCCTCCTCCCTGTTGGAGCAGCTGCCGCCCCAGTTCGAGAGGTTTCGGCGCCGTGCACGGCGAACCTCTCTCGGGGCGGGCAGCCACGCGCGCCGGCCCGCGCCCGCACGCCCGATGCGCGGGCGCGGGCCGGCGCGCGTGGCTGCCCGCGGCGGCTGGCTACCTGCTGATGTCCTGCCCCACGTTGTGCCGCCCAGCTGGTGTGGCCTCCGCTGCGGGCAGGCGTCGCCTCCGGACGCGCAGGGTCGCCATCCGGCATGCGCAAGTGCAGGCGATGGACGTGCGCAACCTGATGGGGCGTGGCCCCCCCCCCCCTGGCCTCGTCGTGTCGCCCGTGGACATCCTGCTGCCGGAGCTCGTGGCGCACGTGGAGGCGCCAGAGGCTGTGGGTGTACGGGTGCCGCCGCTGCCGCCCGCCAGCCCTGCGCCAGGTCTGGCTGGTTTGGGCGCCAAGACGATGGCACCAGCTGCGCCGCGGTGGTCGCCGAGGCTGGTTGGCTTGCGCTCGCGATCCAGCCCCTTAGTTTTTTCTTTGGCGGCGCGGTCGCATGCCGCTGCCACGGCCGGCCCCCTGGTGACAACGTGCCCGGTGACACCATACCGCGCTGCTTGGCCGAGGCGCCGCGCCGGTGCTTCGCGACAGGCTGGGGCCTGGCGCTTAGCAGCGGCTGAGCGCGAGGCTGATACGGCACGCCTGACCGCAGAGGAGCGCCAGGCTGCAGCCGCTGGTTTGGCTCGCACTCGTGCTCTCACTCGTGCCGTTCCTGCCGTGCGTGTTCCTGCTAGTGATGATGCAGATCGTGCTCTGCCTCGTGCCCGCCTTGCTGCACGTCCAGCCAGTGCTGGTCCTCCCGAGGCGCTGCTGGCTGACCTGATCACCGGCGTGGAGGTTGCAAAGCGAGCACCACGGTATTGCCGACAACCACGCCAGCGCCGACTCCCACTCCTCCCTGAGCGCCGCGGCCGCAGTGGAGCTCGGCATGACTGCTGAGCAGCGGCGGCCCCAGGATCCTACTGAGGCCGCTCCGCCTACGTCTGCTCTCCTTCGGCCGATGGCGATGCAGAGGGTGCACATGCGGACTCGCCCCGCGCCAGAGGACCTTCCGGCTGCCGTGGACCGCAACGTCGTGGTCTCCGATGCGGGCGCGCTGCTCATGACAGGGGGCAAGCTGACGGCGGCGGCGATGTTGCTCTCCATGCCAGACCGTGGGGCTGCCTTGCGCCGTTATGGGCAGCGCGTGGCGCTAGACCGTGATGCCGCTGCCAGTGCCGAGGCCGCTGGGCGCCATGGCCGCGCGGCGGAGGTGGGCAAGCCCCTCAGCCTACGGGCCCCGCCCCGCTACCAGCTGCGAGAGCGGAGATGGACAGGCCCCCTCCCCAGCGCCCCCTCTCGGGGCCAGGGGGAGGCGGCGCGGCTGCCTTAGGGGCCCTACCCCGCTACCAGCTGCGAGGTCGTCACCGGCCGAGGTGCGCGAGGAGGGCGCGAGGAACTACCCAGCCGGCCTCGTGGCAGATGGCAGCACGGAGCACCTCGCGAGCCCGAGGCCGACGCTGCCCTCGCACGGCCGCGGTTCCATGCTCGCGTCCATGAAGGATTACGTCAATCCCGCGACCACCGCTGCGCTGCCGGGCTATATGTCCCGCGCGCCCTCGACCCCGGAGGCATGCTGGATGCGAAGTATGGTTCACGGCGCGTTCTGCGAGCTGTCCCAGAAGCAGTCCGTGGACGTCCCCGTGGCGACCGGCGACTCAGGTTTCACTGTCCTGATGCCGAGCCACGCCGACTCTAAGCTGCAGCTGGTCGCCAGGACTCCCCCTGGCCGCCTTGCCATGATGGCGATCGCTGACATGCTCTTCCCGCGCGGTCTGCCAGGCTCTCTGAGGCGCCTGCAAGGATAATCGTGCTGCTGTGTATCTCTATGTGCGCTGCGAGTGCGCGAAGATGCCTCAGCTTGCACGGATTCCGCGTGACTATCGCGGCCAAATTTTTTCGCCGAGCATCATGACATGGAATCACGCACTTGCTGCTTATGTTGTGAAGTGAGGGGGGATTGGAGGGGGGATCAGGTTCAGTGGGAGGATAGGTGTGGGAATGGTGTTGGAGTTCCTGGATACGTAGTCGTCGCTCTTTGGCTACTACGTGCAGAAGATGGCGGCTGCCAGTCAGATGTGTCCCAGCCTTGACCCCGCTCGTTTTCTGCTGCTCCACGATTGGAGGGTTAGGATATGTGTCCCAGTCTCATCCTCTCTTCTCGGTTCAATATACCATCATCCCCTCTGTGCCTGTGTACCTGAAATTGCGCAGCCTGTATTTACGATTAACACAGCGTTCCATAGGTGATCGGTATGCGTCCCAGCCTCTTCCCTTCCGCTCGTTGCTGCCATCCTTCCGAGGCTGGAGGTTTGATGTGCGCGTCCCAGTGCCACTTTTCCTTCTCGGCTTTATCTTTATTTGGTTTCCCTCCCTTTCTCCCTCCCCTCCCCCTCCCGAGTGGCCAAGAGCCACGACGCGGTCTTCGTTTCTTTGTTCAACCCGGTGCCGGCCACTTGATTTGAAAGAGGAGTGATTCGGGGGGGGCGCTGGCGGGATGGGACGAAGGGTGAGTTTAGGTCTGTTGGTGGGGACGAGGGTTGCACTGCAGCGTTGGTGCAAGCACGGGCTGCAGGTCGAGCGCGCGAATGTTGTGCGCTCCCGCAGGCCCCTGTTTTGCGCCAGCCCACTAGGCTGGCTTTCGGCCCTTCGCAGGCCATCTCACCTGCTCCCCTTTTTGATATGCCTCCTCTTGCCTCCTTCCTCCTGCGGCGTTGTGATGCGCCCTGAGCGCCTTCAGACGATGAAGGGGGGGTGGTAGGTCAGGGTGGGGGCGGGGAGATTCACCAAACCTTGGCGCCCGTGCTGCATGTACGCACTGTTGCAGCAGCTTGCGAATGCCGCACTAAGCTGACCGCTTCCTCGGCAAATCAGAGCGCAATCCAATCCTGTTGGAGCTCAGAGCTGCGAGGATTTCTGAATCGAAACGGACCGAATCACCCCGCGCGCGTCATGTCGGAGTTCAGGATTTCGAGGACGTCTCACGCGAAATGGGCCGGACCACGTCGCACGCGACATCTCGGCACCCAAAATTGCGAGGATGTCTCAGACAACGCGGGCTGGGCCACCTCGCGCGCGGCATCTCGGAGCTGAGAGTTTCGAGGATGTTTCAAGCGAAACAAGCCAGGCCACCTCTGGCGTGACAGCTCGGAGCCCAGAATTGTGAGGAGATCTCCGGCGAAACGGGCTGGACGACCTCGCGCAAGCATTTCAGAACCCAGAGTTGCGCGGAAATCTCAGGCGAAACGCGCCGATCCACCTATTGCGTGGTATCTCGGAGCGCAGGGGTGCGAGAATGCCTCAAGCGAAACGAGCCGGACCACCTCGCGCGCAGCATCTCCGATTTCATAGTTGTGCGGATGTTTCAGGCGAAACGTGCCGGACCACCCCTCGCGTGGCATCTCGGCGTTTCAAGCGGATTGCGCTGGACAGTGCCATTTCGCGCGCGGCATCTCGGAGCTCAGAGTTACAAGGATGTCTGAAGCGGAACGCGCTGGACCACCTCGCGCGCGGCATTTCAGAGCCTACAGTTGCGCGGATGTCTCAGGCGAATCGGGCCAGACTACCTCTCTCCGGGCTCACAGTTGCGGGGATGTGTCCGCCGAAAGGCGCTGGACAATGCCATTTCGCGCGCGGCATCTCGGAGCTCAGAGTTACGAAGATGTCTAAGGCGAAACGCGCCAGACCATTTCGTGCGCGGCATTTGAGAGCCCAGAGGTGCGCGGATGTCTCAGGCGAAACTCGCTAGACTACCTCCCTCCGAGCTCACAGTTGCGGGGATGTCTCCGCCGAAGCGCGTTGGACCGACCACTTCGCGCGCGGCATCTCGGAGCTCAGGGGTACGAGGACGTCTAAGGCGAAACGCGCCAGACCACTTCGCGCGTGGCATTTTAGAGCCCAGAGGTGCGCGGATGTGTCAGGCTAAACTCGCCAGACCATTTCTCGCGCAGCACGTCGGAGCTCAGAGTTACGTGGATGTCTCAGGCGAAACGCGCCAGGTTACCTCGCGCGCGAGCGCTCGGAACGCAGAATTGCGAGGATGTCTGGAGCGAAACACACCCGTCCACCTCTCGCGCGTCCAGAGTTGATGTCTCAGGCGAAACGCACCCGACCACCTCGCGCGCGGCAGCTCGGAACGCAGAATTGCGAGGATGTCCGAGGCGGAGCGCTTAATCCCAGCCTGCTCAGAAACGGTTGTCGTGAGGATGTCCCCAGCGAAAAGGCGCGGACCATTTGATTGTCGCGAGGATGTCTCTGCTCGCCTGCCCCCGACTGCAATTGGCTATTCCGCAACTGCACCCCGTTCAGCAAGCTGTTTTAGGGAAAGCTGCGACAGAAGGTTTTTGCACGTTTGCGGCTTCCGGGGGCCATCGCCCGGCCCTGGGACCGCTCGAAAATTGCTTGGGATGAGAAGCCGCTCCCGAGGAAGGAGCTCAGACTTTTGGGGGTCGACGTCGCGAAGAAACAGAAACGTCAAGGAGGGATAGGCCGAAGGGGGGGGGGGGGTCGAAAGTTTTCGGTCGTTGTCGAAAGCTCCCGAAACCCAGGGTGGCTTCTATCAGCTGCGCCTTGTCGAGGGCGCTTCGGAGATGCCCGAATCGTCCCCAACGGCCTCCAGAGGCCCGAGCTATGGCCCGAAAGCCAGGGGGCCTATGGGGGATAAAGGGTCGGGGGGGGGGGACAAAGTTTCGGGCCCCACGTTCGAGATTTTCCAGCGTTTTCGCTGGAGCCTGGCGCCGTTCCAGCTTGGGGAACGGGGCCGCGGCACGGAAAGGTTGCAGCGTCGGAGGAGGGTCCCCCCGCTGTGGCGGACTGCGCGGCGTCCGCGGTGGTCGGGAGGGGGCCAGGCGCGAAGGCCGAGGTGTGGTGGACGTCGTGGAGGAGGCCCCGCGGTGGTGGTCGGGGTGGGCTGGCTGGTAATTTGTGCCTCGGTTGGTGTTCGTCCCCTTCCCCTCCCCTCACTCCAGGCACAGCGATACACGCCGGTCGTTGAAAGCAGGTGTTGTGGACTCCCAGATCCCAACCTGCTTCAAGCGCCTTCCTGCTTCAAGGATCGATATGTTTCTGTTGTGTTTTGTTACTCTCTGGGAGGGCCTGAAGCCCTTCTACTTTATCCGCTTATCTACTTCATGTATGCACCTGCTTCTTCCGACCGACGTGTACGGGGGTGGGATAGGCTCAGGGGGGAACGCATCGACCCCCGACCGCCCAGTCATCGCTGGCAGGGGCCCGATAACTGCATGCCGCCGATAATAAAGAATCCCCACCCTTAACCCCTTATATTTGATTATCCCTGGGCCATATGGTTCGAATTGCCACGACGGGGGGGGGGGGCGAAATTTATGATCACCCCCAAGTTCGCATCGTAGCTCTGATCTTCATACCATGCAGAGCACCATGAGCAATCCGTGTTATTATAATTTGTGTGAGGACGTCTCAAGCGAAACGCCCATGTTCGAAGATCCGCCGAGTTCGCGACCATCAGCTTTTCGAGGATGTCTCAAGCAACACGGCTGCTTATGTAAAAAGCAGTGTCGCGAAAAAGTATTGTTTGCTCCTCTTCCCCCTCCTCCTCCTGCTCTTCCTGCTCTGGCTCCTCTCCTTCTCTCTTCATTATTATCATCGTCTCCTCCTTCTCTTCTCGCCTCTGTCTCCCGTTCCTCCTTCCTTCCTCCATCCCCGCCATCCCCGGCCCGAGCCGTTGTTTATCCCAGGTGTTTCTTACCTCCGAAAAAAATAATCAATCCTACACGCCGAGTTGAAGATCACCACGAATCGTTGAGTTTTGCAAGTAGCATTTGATGCGTCAGAAACTTGGGAAGCGTTCCAGAAGTCCTCCTCCTTCTCCTCTCTCCTTCAGGGAGGCCCCCCGAAAGGATCCAAGGTACCACTTCACCATCGTATTCCATAGGATTTACGTTCATCCGACATCTCCATAGAGGCGCCCCGAGATGGACCAATGTACCATTTCACAATTATATGTCATAGAAGTTGTGTTCTTCCCACATCTCCAGGCAGGCCTTCAAGACGGATCATGGAGGCTCCATCATGGAGGCTCTTGAAGACCGAGCCAGACATCCTAGCATCGATACCTCTGGGGAAAATTATCATCCCTCCTTGGCTGATGCTTGCACTCAAGACGCTGAAACCAGGACCGCTCGGTGCCCAGCATGGACCTTCGTTTTCAGGCCGCTCCTCAGGTCCAGGCCGGGGAACTTGCTCGTGGCCGGGGTTCGCCGTGACCAGAAAAAGTGTTTCGTTGAGCGAAGGGGCTTTTCCGGTAGCGCGCCCTTCGTTGACGTTGCGCAGAGTGCATTCCCTCATTGGCGTTCCTTCTGGTTGTGCAGCCCCTTCTTCCAGGACCTGCGGCTGGCCGCTTGGGGCCCCGCATGCTCACACCACTGCGAGGCGCCGGGACTGGGAGAGGTCGACGCCGCCGCAGGGTTCCATTCTCTCGGATCCGGGCATCGCGGAAAGAAGTCTCCAAGCAGTGGCGAAGCATCTTGGCTTGCCTTAGGCCCACCAAGCAATGTTCTAAGAACCTGCTGTGGTTTGCACCGAATGTTCTTAGAACATGTATGACTGAGTCTGTTTGTTTTAATCCGTCGACTTCTGTTCCAAGCTTGTGAGAACATGACTGCGTTCTAAGAAATAGCATGTCGTGGTAGGCCTATTGGAATGTCCAGACGGTCGGTCGCGGCGGCCGCTCTTTCTACGTATTCGTTTTCGGGGTGATCCAGAAGGAAGGAACGAGTAGGCCAGCTTTTGCTGCATCTTCGCGGGGCCTTCTCTGTCCCCTCGCGCCGCTGTCCGCGTCGAATCCGCTCTCCGCGGCGAATCCGCTCGCTCCAGGTCTTCGTCTTCGGACTTCCGGAAGGCAGCTTCCCGGCCCTGTGGCCGTCAGCAAAACGAGTCGGGCCCTTCCTGAGGGCTTTGGAAGGAAGAGGGATTACACCCATGCGAGCGGAAAACCGACTCGGGTGAGCTGGCCCGAGTGCGCTCCATGGTGCACACACACTTAGAAGCCGAAGCCAAACCTGAAGTGCACAGAAAAATAAAGCACAACCACCCCCACACACAGGGAGAGGAGGACAGCCCTCACCTCTTCCGCCTCCTCCTCCTCCCTCCTCCCCCTCCTCCTCCTCCTCCTCCTCCTCCTCCTCCTCCTTCGCCTCCCCCTCCCTCCGCTCCTCTTCACGTGCTCATCATTCCCCAAACAGCTTGCTGAACGGGGTGCTGTTGTGATAGAAGCTAACTCCGGCCGAGGGAAAGGGGAGCAGAGACATCCTCACAAAAATCTGATGGTCCGGGCCGTTTCGCTTGAGACATCCTCACAACTCTCGTTTCTGAGTTGGCCAGGATTGGCCGTTTCGCCTGAGACATCCTCGAAAAGTTGCGTTCCGGGACGCCGCGCTCGAGGTGGTCCGGGCCGTTTCGCTTGAGACATCCTCGAAATTCTGAGCCCCGAGGTGCCGTGCGAGAGGTGGTCCAGCCCGTTTGACATCCTCGCAACTGTGGGCTCCGAGATGACGCTTGCGAGGTGGTTCGGCCCGTTTCGCCTGAGACATCCTCGAAACTCTGAGCCCCGAGATGCCGTGCGAGAGGTGATCCGGCCCGTTTCGCTTGAGACATCCTCGCAACTCTGGGCTCCGAGATGCCGCTTGCGAGGTGGTCTGGCCCGTTTCGCCTGAGACATCCTCGAAACTCTGAGCTCTGAGTTGCCGCGCAAGAGGTGGTTCAGTCCATTTCGCCTGAGACATCCTCGCAGCTCTGACCTCGGAGATGCCGCGCGCGACGTGGTCCAGCCCGTTTCACCTGAGACAGCCTCCAAACTCGAAGCCCTGATATGTCGTGCGCGAGGTGGTCCGGCCCGTTTTGCCTGAGACATCCTCGCAACTCTGCGCTCTCTGATGCCGCGCGAGAGGTGGTCCGGCCCGTTTCGCTTGAGACATCCTCCAAATTCTGATCCCCGAGATGCCGCCCAAGAGGTGGTCTGGCCCGTTTCACTTGAGACATCCTCGCACTTTTGCTTTCCGAGATGCCGCGCGAGAGGTGGTCCAGCCCGTTTCGTCTGAGACATCCTCGAACTTCTGAGCTCTGAGATGCCCTGCGCGAGGTGGTCTGGCCCGTCTCGCCTGAGACATCCTCGCAGCTCTGAGCTCTGAGATGCCGTGCGCAAGGTGGTCCGGCCCGTTTCACACAAGACATTCTCGCAACTTTGAGCTCCAGATGCCGCGCGCGACGTGGTCCAGCCCGGTTCGCCTGAGACATCCTCGCAATTCTGAGCTCTGAGATGCCGTGCGCAAGGTGGTCCGGCCCGTTTCGCACAAGACATTCTCGCAATTCTGAGCTCCCAGATGCCGCGCAAGAGGTGGTCCAGCCTGGGGGCCCAGAAGACCACATGTTACATATCCCCCTTGGGACCCTGGGAGCCCCAGGAGGCCCCAGAGAGCTTCCCAGGAGGCTCCCAGAACAGGACGCCCAGGGGAGGCCGCAGGACGCCCAGGACAGGCCCCAGGGGTCCCCAGGAGATTCCCAGGAGGCTCCCAGGAGGCCCCAGGAGGCCCCCTGTCAGAACGTGTCAAATTAATACACATCCGAAGTCGATTCGTTGATTTTTCCTGCTCTTGTGCCCCCCCCCATTTGGGGGGCCCAGACGGCCACATGTTAGATATCCCCCCCTGGGAGCCCCAAGAGGCTTCAGGAAGCTCCAGGTGGGGTCCAGGAGGCCAGGAGGCCCAGGAGGACGCCACCGGAGGTCCCCAGAAGGCCCCAGGAGGCCCCAGGAGGCCCCCGCAACTCGGAGCTCTGAGACGCCGCGCTCGAGGTGGTCCGGCCCGTTTCGCCTGAGACTTCCTCGCAGCACGTTTCGCCCGAGACATCGTCGCAACTCTGGGCTCCGAGATGCTGCGCGCGAGGTGGTCCAGCCTGTTACGCTGGAGGCATCCTCGCAACTCTGGGCTCCGAGATGCCGTTCGGGATGAAGAGGAGGTGGAGGAGGAGGAGGAGGAGGAGAAGGAGGAGGAGATGGAAGGGAGAAGGAGGAGGAGGATGTGGATGAAGGAGCAGGCAAGAGGATGGGGAGGAGGAGGAGGAGGCGGAGGAGGAGGAGGAGGAGGAGGAGGAGGAGGAGGAGGAGGAGGGGAGAAGGAAGGGAGTTGCAGGAGAGGACCCAACGGGAAGCGAATGTGACGTGGACTTGTCAGAACGTGTGCAAGAGGTTGTCCAGCCCGTCGTTTCGTTTGAGACATCCTTCAAATACTGAGCTCCAAGATGTCGCTCGCGAGGTGGTCCGGCCCGTTTCGCTTGAGCCATCCTCACAATGCGAAGTTCGAGGATGTTTAGCGCGAGATGGTCTGGCCCGTTCTGCCTGAGACGTTTCGTAGCACAGGGGCTCCAATCACAACCTCTCTCATTCCTTATCCCGCCTCCCTCTTCCCGCTTCCCGCCTGGCTCTTCTTCCCTCCTCCCTCCTCCCGCCTCCCGCCTCCCGCTGCTGCGCCTCTGCCTCCGCCTCCCCGTCCCCGCCGTCGTCGTTTCTGCCGCCTCAGCTTCCGTCACGCGCGCCCTGCCTTCCGCCCTCTCATGTGCAAACATCATGTTATCATGTTCTAACATGCCATGCCAGCCCGCACTGGACGGGCACGCAATCGACCTTGGAAACCGCAGTGCGTTTTAAAAACCCTGTTTGGGGATACTGCACTCCGGCTACAATCTTTGTTTCTGGCACGCCTCAAGAGTGTGGGCATAATCGAACGGGGCGGCTCCAGGATGCAATTCTGGCTTTGCAGGAGCAAGTTCGAAGCCCCAGGAGCCGACGTCACGACAAGGATGCAGCGTCGAATGAGATGGACAGGTCTCGACCCCATCCCCCGCAGGTTCACTCCCCATCCGTTTGCCCCCGAGGCGGCCGCAGAAGGGCCGAAAGCTGTCCGTCGTTAGTTCTTCGCGGCGCGCGGGGGTCCTGGCCGGAGGGCCACATATCGCCCCCGGGACCCCGGACCAGTCCCAGGGTGCGCCCAGGCCAGAATTCCGGGGCGGGCCCAGCCGTGGCCACGATCAGTCTCCCAGGGACCCCATATATACATACATATACATACATACATACATACATACAGACAGACAGACAGACAGACAGACAGACAGACAGACAGACAGACATACAGACATATATACATATATATAGATATAAGTATAGACACACGAAAAATCAATCACCAAACAATAAAACCCCAAGTCGCCAGAGGCACCCGGCTCCCAGCTTCCGACCCGAGCGCAGGCGACGGCGCCTCGCTCCTCGTAATCGTGCGCACGATACCCCTCCTTAGACCGATCGAGGCCTCTGAAGGCGCAAGAAGAGCCGATGCTCGATTGATCGACAACCGATCGATCGATCCTCGATCAATCGGTCGATCTTCCTGAAATCTTTCCGAGCCGAACCTCGATTGGTCGATCGAGGACCGATCTCTCGATCAAGGGCCATCTGAGCGCTGCCCGGAGGCGTTGGGCTCCCCCGCCGCGCGGCGCGCGCTCGTGGCTCTGCAGGGGGCGTACCAGTGGCAGGCGCACCTGGACATGGACGAGCTCGGCGGCGGGCGCGGCGGCGCGCCCGCCGTGGGCGTGCCCGACGAGGCCGCCGCCGCCGCCGCCGTCGTCGACGTCGTCGTCGTCGTCGTCGTCGTCGTCGCCGTCGTTATCGTCGTCGCGGCCGTCGATGGCCGTCGTCGTCGTCATCGTTGTCTTGGGCTTCTCGGGTCGGGCGACGGGGACTTCGAGATTGAAGGTTTCCTGGCTCTTCCGTCGATTCTGTGCGGTTTTCCGGATTTGGGGGGCCTTTCAGCAGCTGCACCTCGTGCCCGAATCTTCCCGAACTGCCGCCTGAGATCCGAATTATGACCCAAAGGCCAGACGACGAGGATTTCTCGTTGCCGTCGTCGGTCGTCGGTGGCGTTCCCGGCGAGGCCGTGGCGCAGAAGAGGAAAACAGAGTTTCATCCACGATGGGGTTGACAATGACCTCCTTCGTTTCGGACGTTTCGGGGTGTTTTTCTGATTGCCTGGTTGTCTGTGGTCACAAAGCGATTCCCGCCGTAAAACCCAGGGGCTGGCCGCAGTCCGCAGCCGGCTTCCAGCAGGCCTGCCACCAGGAGGAGGAGGGCGCAAGGAAGTCCAAGGTCCGAGGTCGGTCCGTGGGTCCGACACCGACGGTTTTAAGAGATGCGTCGCCAGTTGGAACACCAACACTCCGGTCCAAGGCCCTGGGCTCGCCCGGCAAAGGGCAGGAAGGCCCCTCCGACCATCGCAGGGTCTCCCACAGACCCCGACCCGCGCCAACGGCCTTCCTACTCCAATTCCCTGGCCTGGAAGAGCGCTGTTCGCGACTGTTCCAGGAAGACCTGACCTCCATCGGAACGGTTGACTCCAGCCAGGGCGATGAAGCGGACCTGGTCCTATGCGCAACCACCCGTGCCAACAACAGCCACTCCTGGGGATTCTTGGACGATCGCCACAGCCACAGGGCCAACGTTGCCTATACCAGGAGGCAAGATGTCCAAAGCCGCCTCCGACTCGCAGATGAACGTCCTGGCGCGTCAGGGCCTGGATGCTGGACTGTAGCTCCAATGCGTCAGCCTGGAGGCAGCTGGCAACGGGCGCGTCCTAGAAGAGGACTTGTCGTTCACGCCGGCCTCCTTAGTGGACGCTTGGCTTCCTGACGGGGCCACAAAAGAAAATAAAAGGAGGCACAGAACGCCTCGAAGCAGAGCGCGCGCGGAAGGCGAAAAAAAGGGTCCTTGTCAAGGTGCGGGACCAACAGGAGCTTAGCTTCGTCACCATGGTGGACAGCCGTTACCGAAGGATTACAGCTGGGACCACCTGGCGGAGGACCTGCATGTGGCGGCGACTTGGCTTCTGATGGACCTGGCCCCTGCGCCGGCAATCTACTTTGTCATCACCCGCACATGTACGGCCTAGGCGACGCTCCGGTGGACCTGGTTGCGCATTGCTGGAAACTGCTTAGACATGGTGAATTTCTGTACGATTTGGAGTTGGGATTGGACCCGCCCAACTGGGTTTATATTGCTACCTGCAGGCTGTCTTGCTTCACCTGGCCGGCCCTCTTCCCACCAGCGACGACGACACCGCCACACCAGATGAGCAGCTCCCGCCAGAGGCGGCGCGATCCGGCACCTCCAGAAATTGGCGGCGCCAGGATGACTGCATCCCGCCCGACACGCAAGGCCCCGGTGCCCGCCCGCAGCTTGGAGCCGTTCCACGCGCAAATTCCAGAGGCACAAAAGGGCGACCGACAATGGAGCATCTACAGGCCATCCTGGGGCACGTTAGCACGCATGAGCAGAGGTTCCTCGAGGGGCTCGTGGGCCCAGACGGGAAGCCGCTCAGTCCTTTTTGGACTAGTGATCCCCATGCTGATCCTGATTCGGGAGCCTTGGGCGCTAATGTTTCCGTGTGGGAAGCGTGGCCCCGCGGGAGACGTCTGGGAGGCGGCCTTGGTTTTCTGCGACCCGTGCATCAAGGCCAGGCTGGCTGTCCAGGGTCTGTTCGGGGCGGCCACCCGAGTCGATACCAAGGGCTTCCGCGCCTTGCGCGGTCGCGTGGAGGCACTTCGCAGGGCGGTCGGCAGGCTGGCGGTGACAGCACACCACCACCCCCAGGCATAGCGACAGGAGCGCCCGCCAACCTGGAAGGACCTAGACAATTGCGACTTCCCTCTCAAGGTCGTGCTCCTGACTGTCGAGCACTTGGGCACTCCAGCTGACATCTCCATCTTGGCCGGGCACAGCTGCGCGGTTTGCGCGCTGTCCGTCGACCTGGCAGGCTCCGAGGCTGGCCTGGTTGATCGGGCCGACGCTCATTCGGCGATCCATGTGCGGCACGCGGAAGACATGGCCAGCTCAAGAAGCGACCTCTTTGCAGCTGCGCCCCAGGGCCCTCTGCCAAGCGTCGCGCTGGACCCGACAGCGCTTCGGATGGAAGACGCCCGGTTCGACCTAGCGAAGGCCATCGCCAAGATTCGGCGCGATGAATGCGACGCAAGAAGTTTTCGACGCAGACGAAGGCGCCCAGTCAGTCCCGAGCCCCGACAGCTCTTGGCGGCCAGCCGCATAGCAGCTAACAGGCGCGGCCCGCGCGGCCGATGGCACAGCGCGGGGTGTTGGAGGGCCGATTACGACATCGGGGGCAATCGGCCCCAGACGATGTGGAATGCCTGGACTTCGTTCGGGCCCGCAGCAGCCCGGCGCCGAGGCCAGACCGGCACGGGAAGCGCGCCTTCCCAAGGGGCTACTCCCGCAGGGCGGACCTGACAGCCCGGCCGCAGCAGGCGCCGCAATCTCAATGAAGCGCACGGCCGGCGGCTGCCTGGGCGCGCGGGCGGGCGGCAAGGGGTGCGAGGGCAAGTGCGACGGGTGACCAGAGGCGCAACCTTGCCATGGGAGCCCGGCACCCCTCTGCCAGGGATGTTCGTCGCCCGACGGGCATGACAGAACAACCTGGGCCGCGCCCTGGCGCGCGGCTCGCCGCGCCGTTCGGGGCCTGGCCATGGCCTCGAACGCACGCGGTACTGCGCGGACTGCCCGGTCAAGATCTGGGACGCGCGCCCACCCGACGCCCAGGACAGCCACCCGCCGGGTCGCAGGAAGTCCACATGCAGCGCCAGGCCTCAGACTTGACCCGCTCAACGCTTAGGCGGCCCTGGCGGCCCGCAGCGCCCATTGCCTGGGCGACGCCATCGATATTCGCATGGCTGAGCAGGCCGCCAAGTTCACCGACGACCCTCTGGGCGCCTTTGACAGATCGGCTGACTACGACGCCGCGCGCGAGCTCCTGGACGCCGCAGACGACGCAGCGGGCCGCGCCTCTCCCCGACCCCGCGGAAAGGGCCAAGGCCGCTATGCTCGCGGCCCGGAAGGGGCGCGGCCGCCCCCCCCCCCCCCCATGACAGCCAGAGGCCCCGCGCTCGCAGCTGCACTGCAGCCGAGTGACCGCTTCCCCGACAGCTTCGGCCTCTCGCTCCAGCTGCAGCCAGCGGGGGCGATGATCGACCGGGCCGAGGGCTTGCCCCAGCGCGCCTGGATCTATGCCGACGGACGCCGCCGCCCACAGTTGGAGACGCCCCGGCTCCACGGAGACCCCCGCCTCTGGCCGTCTGCTTTTCGCCGCCCCGAGGCTGCCCGCCAGATATGTAGCGGGCCTGGGCGCAGACCGACCGATCGATCTGGTCGGCCGCGCCCCGGCCCCCCATGAAAAAGCACCGGGTCAGCTTTTGCAGCCGACGCCTGGGCCTGCCGCCCAGTCCAGGCAGCTTCCACGCCAGTTCCTGTTTCCCCTTCGGGGGGGCAGGGAGATCAGCTGGGCCACGGCGCGTGAAGCCAGCAGTCCACGCGCGGCCAGTTAATTACCGGCGCACTCGGCGACCTGGGCGATCGAACCGGACGACCACCAACGGGCTGCTTGAGCGCAGTCCCCGGCCGGCGTCGCCAAGATCCGCGCCTGGCTGGCCGAGGCCCCCCTCATGGACTTCGCCCAGGGCGTTGGGGCCGCTTGCTTCCGGCAGCGCGGGCCCCTCCTCCAGGCTGGCGCCACTTGGCCGTCGCACCTCCCGCTGGCCCCTCTGGACGAACCGCGCGAGCTCCTTGCGCCCCCCTCGCCACAGGGACGCGGCGCGATGACGGATCTGGTCGCCGCGCCGCCGCCGCCCTGCCCCGCCCGCGGCGAGGCGAGCCCTGGCGGCATTGGCCCCGCCCTCGCCGGTCGCCCCGCTGCAATCGCCCGCCCGCGCCGTGGTGGATTGCGCAAGGACGTTGCGCTGGGACATCGCGGTGCCCCGGCATGCTTTCGCCGGCTAGCGGCGCGTCGGGAGTCGCCTGGAGGCCCCGGCCAACAGGTTCGACGCCCGATGTTGGGGCCACGCCACGCGCGCTAGCGCTTCCGGATGGAGGAGCATCTGCATGACGCGCCCCCTTGGAACGGCAGGCGGGCGACCCCCGCGCGCGCCCTCGCCCGGCCCCCCGTCGCCAAGAGCAACAGGAAGGGCGGCGCGGCAGCCGCGCCCGAGCAGACAACCATGATGGTCCCTGGCATACCTCCACGGGGCCCAAAAGCGGCCCCGCTTGGTGCGGCCCCAGACAGACGACGAGCAGGTGCTGATGATTGGCTAGTCAGGGCATCCTCGGCCTTGCGTCGCCCCTGCCAACGAACTACCACCCGCCGCTGACGCCGCTGATGCTCGACGCGCTGTCGGGCCGCTAGACCCCGGCCCAGGGCGAGGCAGGAGGCGGCGACGGGGCGGGTACACCCCCCGCCAAGCCAGCAGCCTACGACGCGCCAGCGCCCCTAGCGGGCGCGGCCAGCAGGGGGGCGCGCAGCCCGCGACCCCGGCCGCTGCGACCTCCTTACTACGACATGGCGGCCCCAGCCGAAGAACTGGCCGCGGCGATATTGGCGGGCGCAACCGAGGTGACCATTGGTCCGCCCCCTCAAGCTGATCAGTGATCGACCTGGCAGACCGCGCATGCCTGGCCGACGAGGCCGCAGGCGACGGTGACCAGGCCGCATGAGCTTTGCAACAGATTGGCGCCGCAACCCCAGGCGCCGGTGCTGCCTGCCGCCCAC